TTATTACAACAAGACTTCCTAGGGCACAAGAATCCTAGATGAAAATTAACAAAAAAGGATTTTGGCTCTACATCCAAACAATGGATATTTATTTATTTATTTATTTATTTATTTATGTAGAAACAACTTTTAAAAAACATCAAATTAACCCTCAGAATAGAAAATCTTCAAAAAGAACACTTTATTTATTTATTTATTTATTACCAGGAATGCCCTGAGGATGCCTAAAATGATGTTTTCGATGTTCTCCAGTTCCCTCCCATTAGAACTGGAAATCAGTGCATCATCAAGGGGCGGAGAAAGCTGCAACTCCTGGGAACAGTGTTGAGTGTCCGAGCATTCTTGGCATATGGTAAAATTCCCTGTAAACTCATTTTTTGATAAACTTCAAGGAAAAAAAGGTTTTTGATAACTTCAGCAGATCAAGTGATTTGTTGCCTGTAGGGCGACCTTAAGCTCCAAGAAACAGGGATTGACCAAACACTTGTTTTAGTGTAAATCTTTCCTTCTCGAGTACATGTTGTCTGAAGCTTTGTTTTGACTTCTATTCCTCCTTAAATCCCTTGAACCCCCATTAGGGAGCCAGCCATGACGGATTCTCGGCTGTAGCCGACTTTTCTGCCCACATCTAGGAACAAGCAAGCAGGATGCTTGACGTTAGAGGTCCTGCTCATGTCCATCAAACAGCAAAGCTCACACAAAGGCCTTTTTCTGGGATTAGCCCAAATGAGCTTAGTTCTGATCAGCTAACCTACAACTGGACTCTGTGCTCTGCATGAAGAAACCGATAACTAAGGAACCTTGCTTAAAGGTGGTCTGGATATTATAGTGGGTTCTGGAAAAAAGGCTTTCCTCTGCCCTTGCAGCAAGGAGAAACAAAGCTAGCCAAGATAACTTAATGATTAAGCTCATTCTGGAAGGCAAGTCGATCACTTCTCTACTCATCAGCCCAGCTTAACCCTTTAAAACCTGAAATAAGAAAAAAATTAGGATAAAAACTGAATTATTCATGGCTAGTGTTGACTAACAACAATATGATGATCTCTTATTATGCAACTCTACAAGAATACGAAAGTTGGAGAGAAATAAAATTGGCCCTTTCCACCTGTAGATTCTCCACCAGAGGGCGGTAGATATGTATGGCACTGGGTATGGCTGGTTTTTGATAAAGGTAGTAATCCTAATTTAAGGCCAGAAGTGTTTTATTGTGAAGGGTCAACAAACAACTGCCATTTAGACCAAAGCCACCCTTGTAATAACAAAAACACAATTTTAAAGGCTCACTTGGCAGTTTTGGCTTGCATTTAGCACCTCCTAGTGTTCGTTTAGTAGAACCAAAAGCTAAACTTATCTCATTGCGGTGTGTTCGTCTTTTTAACACCTTAATCTAACAGCTGAAATGTCTCCCCAGCTTTCATTAGTGTCTGCATCTAAAACACGAAGGAAGCAGACTGCAGCACCAGGCATGTCAGCCCTATTTTTCTAAGTCCACAGGTGGCGGCTCACCAGTCTGAAGTTGTAAGTTCATTATTCAGGCCACAGGGAATGGTGGGGGTCTGAGTGACATTTCAATAACCCTGTAAATGATTGTTTTAGCACATACTGGCTCAAGAAAATGATTTAAAAATATGAAAAATGTGCCGTGTATCCCTTTAAAACACAGCATGCATGAATGATTGGATCAGTAAAGAAAAAGATAGAAATAAGTCCTTGGAATGCCAGAAACAAGTAACTGAATGATAGCACACGTTTCCTTATGGTGAATTCTGACCGACTGATCCTTAGGCCAAGCGCTCCCTTTGGAGAGTGTATTGTTCAAGTTTCTATTGATTGCTGCTAATCACACGCTGATTCATGTCACTGATATTACAGACGTTCCGTGGTCATTAGAGAAGTAGCTAGGTTCAAAATACCACTACTACTTCAGACATTTGGCTTCACAGTTTGTTTAATTGCGACCAAGAGGGTTCTTTAGAGGAGTCTGTTGCACTCACAATGTCATCAGCAGAGCAGGGATTTGTCACAATCATCTTTAATGAAACTGGAAGTCATCGATGTCTCTCTGTAGGTAAGCACTTCTGCTGATTGGTCTCTGATGAGGCTGCAGGGCAATAGGTTGGCACGTAAAAAAAGCATGTCTGGCTATTTTATGTGATCCTGGTTTCTGACGCCCTTCATCAGTCAGTGTGTTTACATGGGCGTCAGAAAACTGAACTGTTGCCTTAAATAGATTGAGATCTATTTTGTAAAAACGCCTGTAAACTGGCTCGTGTCAAACTGGTTCTAATCCAGCGGAGGTGCCCACATAATGTGGTAGAAGCCCAACTTCCTCTGCATGTAAACGGCTTAGTCGAGCTGTGACCAGTTCCGCCTTCTGGAAGTGATGAAACTGCAGAAGTGCTCTTCTGATAGTATCATCGTGATAAAGTAACACATGTAACACCATCAAACACGCTCCAAATAAGCTATGCTTCAGCACCGTTGTTGTCCAATCCTTTGGCCAATTTGCATCTCCTGTTTTTACACTGTCTGCTTTACTCCCACCAGCATGTCTTTACTATTTGAGATGCTACAAGCTAACCGGAAGAACACCAACACGAAAGGGCGCAGGTCGCAGACTACCATCGCAGAGGAACACACTTCATTTGAGAGTTTTGTTTTCTGAGGCCAATGTAAACTAGGATAAAGGCTCCCAGTTTATTGTTGTAGATCAACCTAGATCGACTTAGATGCACATGTAAACACAGTCAGTGTGGTTACATGCGCACTGACCGACATCTAGGTCAATCCAGGTCCATCTTATTGTAATAAGCTGGGAGTCTTTATCCTAGTTTACATGTGCATTAGGAAAACCAGCCTCTCAAATGAAGTTTGTTCCACTCCAGCACAGTAGGTGGTGACATGCCCCTTTTCATGTCGGCATTCTCCCGGTTAGCTTATAGCAACACAATCCATGAACAGAGGCTGGTGGGAGTGAAGCAGACGTAATGGAAACAGGAAATGCACAATAACGACAGCAACGACGCTGCAGCACAGCTTATCTGCTACGTCCTGTCCTGTTTTAAGGTGTTACGCGCGTTGCTTTGTGACGATGGTCTTGTCAGAAGACCGCTTCCGTGGTCTCGTCACTTCCGGAAGGCGAGCGTCTTACCGGTTTAGCTCGGCTCACCCATTTACATGCAGAACGTAATCAGATTGCTGTTGCATTATCTGGGTGCTTCAGCTGAATTAGAACCGGTTCGCCTTCAGCCAGACTAAAGACTTTACAAGCCATTCAAAAAACCGATGCGAGTCTTTTTAGGGCAACACTTGGGTTTTCTGATGTGCATGTGTATGTATGTCGATGATGTAAACACACTGACTGACTTAGACCTATTTGAACCTCTGAATCCAGTTCAGGGAACAAGAGGATTGGACTGTGTGGTTTGAAAAACCATGAACATGTACTCGTCTCATTGTGTAAGATAAAAAAGAATAAAAAATACACCTAACTCTTCCAAAACTATGCCAAATCTTACTAAGTCAGAATCCCAAATATCACAAACATCCAACATAAACAACAATTAACAGAAATCAAACGCCGACTCCAAAAGTGTAATTAGATTATAAAGAATCTAAAAACGAGAGGTGAGTAAATTATTCCACTCCAGGGACAGGGTTAGGCCCGGCTACTTGGGCTCAAGCCCCGAATGTTTTATGAAAAGCCCCGGATCTAAATCGTGGAAGTAACATGCAGTACCAAAGTCCACCAGAGAGGGAGCAGCTGGCAGTAGTTTGTATACAGCCTGCCTGAGCCTCCACCACTGAAGAAGAAGCCCTTCAGCAGCCGGCTTCTTCTACACTCTCTGCCTGAAACGCATGAGTGAAGATGGACATAAGGACGTGTTTTAGACCAAAAGTACGGCGACAGAACCCCAGCTTTGATGAGACTGGTGCTGACTCAGGTTTGTGAGTCTTATTAGAAAACACTAACAGGAACAATACTCTGCCCTGAATACACTTAATATGTAGCTTCAGATTAAAAATTATGTGGTACAAGACAAATATATGTAATGTTGACTAGTGTGTGTCACGTGTGTGTGTGTGTGTGTGTGTGTGTGTGTGTGTGTGTGTGTGTGTGTGTGTGTGTGTGTGTGTGTGTGTGTGTGTGTGTGTGTGTGTGTGTGTGTGCGCACGCAGAGACCTTCCAGAATCACATGATCAGAAGAAACACACAGATCGGAGACGACCTCTTGTTCTGTTTTATGTAGCACCATGAGGGTTGGAGTCAGCACCTCTGAGCCAGCAAGGGGAGATACCCACAGAGTCAAGCCAGTGAGTTAAGTGTGAAATCTTTTCTGGCTCCAAGAAGTCAGCTAGATGTGTGTAAGCAAACACCAGTGAACACATCATCATGGGATGCAGCTGGCTGGACTGGTGCATTTGTGGACACCATTACGTGTTTGATGAGCTGCCAACTGCTGAGTCAGGAACTGCGGTGACCCGAGAACATTCACGGAAGCCCGTTTTACTGTATATACCATGAAAACTTGGAAAAGACATACCAAAAAAATGTATTCCGATTTCCTGTATTAGGTTTGCTACAGATGATCAGAAACTGACAAATCTAAATAAAAGCCTTTGAAAAGTCTGAGCAACTGTGTTGATTTCTAACAAAGATCAACTCCCCAGACAGCATCAGCGGTGCAGTGAGAACCCCGGCAACAAAGACTTATGATTCATTTGAACATAACCAAATGCCCTGCCCATGAAGTCTACATGAAACACATTTAGTTGACAATAAATTACCCATCTGATGCATTTTATTCTGTTTTTGTTTACACAAAAATATGAAGGCTTTTCACAGCTGTGTTTAAAAATAATGGACACTAAATCCTTCTGCTGCAATGAAAACTCCAAAAGTCTGAAATAATCATCAAAAGGCTCTCCGTGTTGAATGGGCACAGCTTAGACAAGTTTCTCCTCTTAATGAGGTGAAAGGTCAGACTAGCGGTACTCACCACAGATCTCAATTTATTCTCCTTCACCAGATTAAGGGAGGTTTGGTAGCAAGAAGCAAGATCAGTCTCCTCCGTAGGGCCCACATGACCTCTGGCAACTGGACCCACGGTGTGGATCACGTCTGGAACAAGAGAAGCACCACAGTTTAATAATAATGCTAATAATGATAAGTAGGTGGCAACCACGAGGTGTGTTACTGTGGCCTTTCAGACTCTGCAAAATCATCAAAATAGCATGAATTCTTTGAATGATCACCTGTCTGGTCTCGTGTTCTGGTTTGGCCAGACAGAGGCCATGTACACACGTAGCGAGGTTTTTGGAAACCAAACATCCTCTCCCACCCATCTGGGAAAAACGACTTGGGGTGCACCTTGCTTTCAGCAAAAAACTGCCAGTGCATCAAAAAGCACATTCATTGGCATGGCAAACCTGTAGGTGGCAGTAGTTTCCCAAATCGCCCGAGTCTTTGCCAAAAAACTTTCTTAGATGTGGAACAAGTAGATGGCAGGCAATAACGTCTCTAACACCATCCTCCGACTGGGGTCTTCTACACAGAGCAGCAATGGAGCTAGTAAAAACAAAACAGCTTGACCAGGTGGTGCCCGTGGCATTTTTGCCACAAGCAGTGATGTTGTGAATAGAGGTCGACCGATATCGTTTTTTCTATTGCCGATACCAACGCCACTATAGAGGTCTGCCGATAGCCGATATGTGCCGCTGCTTTTCATGGCCGATTTCTATTTTCCATCTTGTTTTCATCCAAAAATGTCGCTACTATCATTTGATGCAGAAAATTTCAGAATCGTCACCAGTTTTTGAATTTTAACCATCTGTTAAATCTTAATTTTGTGCACTGCTCCAGGTTCAAATCAGAAATCAAACTAAAGATATCAAACAAATAAATTAACTGACAAATTATAAAAAATTTCTAAACTGGTATTTCAAAGCAAATTTTAGTAGAAAATAATTTTTTGAGCATAACTGATGTAGATGTTATTCAGGAACCTAGACATAGTACATTTAAATTTAATTCTGTCGAAGCACTCGGCTGCCCAGGGTGTCTTTAAATCGCCTTTACTAAGAGGGTATAAAGAGGGTATTAAAATGGTAAATATCTGCGACACATCGGTCTACCCCTAGTTGTGACACCTAAAACTCCGGTTATTCACATCAACAAGCACATGCTGACAGCTGAGAACTCACAAATCCCCACGTTGGTCAGAGTATTTGGAAGAAAAAACTGTTTTTGGTGTTGTTTATTTCCACTTTTATGAGAATGATGGGTCAAACAAAACAAAGACATCTTCTTTGTAGGATATTCAGTTACTTGTGGACACGGCTACAAAAAGCATCTTTGTATTTGAATCAAATGGAAGAAGACTGGAAACCGACAGAAATTGTTTTCATTCTGATGTCATTTTTTAAAACCTCAGCCGTAGACAGGGCAGGTCAACATAAACACACAATAAGTCGTTTAAGTCAACGGGAAAAGCTACGAGATCTCCTTAAAAAGGCCATCGAGCTTTACATTTGGTGTTCTGCTTTTGCTATTTTAATTATGAGGCCATCATTCATTGCTGCTTTTCATTTTATTCAAAAACAGCAAACGTAGGAATGTAAAATAACATCCATCATTGTTATCCACCAATCCTAGTTCATGGTGCATTAAACACATTAGCATTAGCATTTTAATCCTCCAGACTGCCCTTTCTGTTGCTAAAGTATTATTTGGTGTTAAAAAGAATAAAAACTCCCATCAGGCTCAGGTGAGGGTATGGAAGATAAACTCTGCAGTGTGTTTTTAAAATGCAATCATCTTCTGTTTTCATGCACCTGACCTCACGGTTTACTTGATCTGAAACATGTGACCTCACTTTCAAACTAAACAAATGCAAACCGCAGCTTATTACTTCTATACGAGATCTGATTGGACGCTGTACGTTTGGTTCCTGAGGGTTAGGGCGGCTGCTGGGTTCCAGGGAGTTTTCCAACGCTGCTTAAAGGATCAGATTTTGTTTCGGAGTGGTAACGAAATACGAGTTTGAGGGATTCCAAACAAAACTGGGGTTGAAACAAGAAATGGAGGTGTCTGATTTACTGTCTTCTCCCCGCAAAAACTGGTGGGAAATTGGCCCAACATTGTTATAACGGGACAAGCGGTAGGTTGTTGTACCTGCATATTTCATGGATTTCTTCACTACAAAAATGGCAATATGCCAATTAAACTGTGGGCTGGTGTCCAAAATACAGACTACTGGTGAATTCATGAAAATTTAAAGACTTTTCTTTCCAGCGGTTTGGACATCTCGGCTTGTTTCCTCAACACCTTGGAATCAAATAAATATTTATACAGCTTTTTCTCTGTGAGGTGAAAGACATTTTATTTTGGAGCTAAGGAGGGGTATTACGAAAACGGTGGGTATTTGCAACAGAATACAAAAAAATAAAAAATAAAAAATAACCTGACAGCTGCTTCAACCGCAGTGAAGTTAAACAAAAATGACATCTTTGCTCAAGGTCAGAAGGAAGAATACTTTTTTGGTATTTAAAGAATGAAAAAAATCCATTTGTTTAATCTGAAAAAACACAAAAAGAAGAGATACAACTAAAAAGGTCATTACTCTGAGATAATTATTCATCCATCCATTTTCCTTTGCTTGACCGGGGACAGGTCACGGGGGCAGCAGCCTAAGAGAGGCCCAGACTTCCCTCTCCCCAGCCACTTGGGCCAGCTCCTCCGGGGGATCCCAAAGCGTTCCCTGGCCAGGTGAGAGACACAGTCCCTCCAGCGTGTCCTGGTTCTACCTTTAGGTCTCCTCCCGATTGGAAGTGCACGGAAAACCTCACCAGGGAGGCATCCAGGAGGCATCGTAACTAGATGCCCGAGCCACCTCAACTGGATCCTCTCGATGTGAAGGAGCAGCGGCTCTACTCCGAGCCCCTCCTGGATGACTTAGCTTCTTACTCTATTTCTACGGGAGAGCCCAGCCACCCTGTGGAGAAAACTTGTAACTCATTCTTTTTGTCACTTGTGACCATAGGTGACAGTGGGAATGTAGACTGACCAGTAAATCAAGAGCTCCGCCTTCCAGCTCAGCTCTCTCTTCACCACGACAGACCGGTGCAACGCCATCACTGCAGACGCAGCACCAATCCACGTATCGATCTCTGGCTAGGTCATTTTATGAAAAGGCAGTTCAGATTTCGACAAAAGCTCCTTCCTTTGATGATATTCTTCTCATTGTGACATTTTCGCCGTTAGATGCAACATGTTTCTTAAGCCAGATTTATACTTCTTCGTCATCTCAGCTGAAACGTTGCGCACATGCTTTGACGAAGAAGTTATCCCTTTGAACTTCTCCAATGCCTGGGGCGTGCTGCAAAGCAACCCGCCTGCAGCACAACAGAAGGTGTAGCGCTTCTTTTGGGGGTGGGGGAGGGGTGTTCTGCCACCATTGCGGTCTTTAAGCTTATTTATTATGGTGCATTTATGTTGTGTTCAACACTTTTTAACAGGAAACTTCTACCCTCGTTCTCTTCCACCTCTCCATGCCGTCACCACCTTGGTTCACCCAGTGACCCATGTTTTCTGTAACGTCCTTACACAAACAGAAGTTTGTTGCCTTTCTTTTTACTCCTTCAGTCGCAGCTGTATAAACGTTCATATCGTCGAACAGTTTCCATGAGACGTTCTTCTGTTTGCCCGGAGTCTTAACTGTTCTGTCCTCACTAAGTGTTGTCCTCGTGGACGTAGACTCAGCTATCCAGACAGCTAAACACTCTCCCAATCAAAAAACCAAGGAACAGGCCGATGTGTTGAGTTGGATGATTTAATAAGGAAAAAGTGTGAAACTGTTGACAAACCAGAAATAAACCAATAAAAATGTTGCATCAGTATAAAACAACACCACAACAAATCACGCTCATGCTCAAAATATTAAAGAAACCACATGTGAGGTGAGCTAGCTTAACCTTACTAGCTTAGGTTACACCTGCATTCAAATTAAATTCAAACTACAAACTATATCACTCTTTCACAACAATAACAATGCACACAAGTCATTTCAGTGATAACAGATAATATTACTCACAGATGGTGCCGTTTATCAACTTGTGAAGGCATGGATGGTAACAGATTAACAGAGGTGAAACTGCTTCTGGCAAGATCTTGCAGAATAAAAAACAACCACTAGAGGGCAAACTACTGAACAGAAAATACCTAATGCCAGCACACTAACGCTAGATATCTTCAGTAGTCTTTTTACTATTTTATGGAGGAATGGCTAGCCTGGCAAGCCAGACTAAACACATTTATTATTAAAACTTAGCAAAGCAAGAATTTAGTCTAGTTCACTATTTCAATTCAATTCAAGTTTATTTATATAGCGCTAAATCATGACAAGAGTCATCTTGAGGCACTTCACACAGTAAACACTCCAATAAAGTCCCGGTCATTAAGCCAAGTAAGTAAGTTAAAGGTTTCCTATAGAAGGAACCCAGCAGACTGCATCAAGTCAATGACTAGGCTTTACAGCGGTACTGTTGATGAATTTAAAGGAAGTGGTGTCCTGACAATCACAGGCTTGTGGTATCTTTCACTTTTGATGGATAGCAAAAATCGGGGATGTTTCTGTCGCTCTCTGTACGTGTCGCATAGAGTCCTGACTCGACGCATCACGGCACTGCGTGTCTCCGTACTCACGCAGATGGACAGTGTTGGGGAGAATACTTTGCAAATATATTTAGTTACAAAATACTGAATAATAATAATAATAATAATAATAATAATAATAATCAAACTTATAAAGCGCTTGTTTAGGACACTCAAAGACGCTTTCACACACTCTCACATTCACGCACTGCTAGTGATGGTAAGCTACTTTTTAGCTACATCCACCCTGGGGAGGTCTGACAGAGGCGAGGCTGCCATTTGGCGCCGTCGTCCCCTCTGACCACCACTAACACAGGCAAGTTGGGTGAAGTGTCTTGCCCAAGGACACAACGGCAGAGTACCCCTGGCGGGAGCTGGAATCGAACCCATGACCCTCCGATCATGAGGCAACCCGCTCTACCACCTGAGCTACTGCTGCCTGAATACCGGTTTTAAATTAATTTTGTAAACATATTTCGTTACTTTGCTTAACCTTGGTGCTGTATTTCAAATACTTGGAATACTTCCTCTTAAAATCAGATATTAAATATCGCAGCGTGCATTGGTAGCTACTCCCACAGGAAAACAGAGGGCATGTTTATGCTAAACAATATGAACTGACTGGGAAAATAAAACAATTTCATTATTTTTGTTAATTTATTCATCAAAGAGTCAACAGATTCTGTTTCTGTACTAAAGTGACATAATACACCATTACTGTCAGGCACTAGGGGTTGTACGAAATAGTCGACTAGTCGACTAGTCGACTTCACGGCTCTGTAGTGACTTTTTATGCCTGTCATCAACTAGTCGCTGTCACGTGATAATGACTGACAAGATGCAGTCCTCGGAAAAGACAGCAGGTGATGAGCCCCTGCGCGTCTGGATCGAGGCGGAGGCGACGCGCTGTGCCATAGCGTCGGTACTGACACCGGCGGTAAAACGGATATTTAACCAAACTGTGACATTTTCCCTCTTGCAATTTAACCTTCCCCTCACCCCCATCCTAATCTTAACCAGTTTGCGCATGCAAAGCTCTGATCGTTGACGTGCGCTCCAGACATTGTGTCCTGAGCACCGCCAAATCAGGTGTCACCACCTCAAAAACAAATTTAACACGCGATCGTTCATGTCGGCTCATTTCCTTTCATGTTTTCTGTCTGTTATTTGTGCCTGATGCGTTTCGCTGCTGCGGAGCGAGGTGCATCACCTGTTCCTCCGGTGACGCACCCCCAAGATTCCACTATCTCCGCTCCGCTCCGCTCCGGCATGAACTCCACAGCAAAAACGGTCCCGTTGTAGTCGCCCGGCGAGCAGCGGCACTCCGCTGTTTTAGCGGTCGGTAGATCTTTTAGAACTGCAGTTCAAAGGTAACTCATGAGGTGAATATATATGAACCCAGGTAGCAGTTTCTCTTTAGGATTGAGAGGAGATGCAGGAAGATAATAAACAGACAGGACAGAAAAATAGTCAAATAAAAACAAGTTAGTTTTTGTACCTGCTGGTTGCAACAAACAGACACCATTGAAGGTAATCAGAAGTGAGGAACAGAAAATGAAATAATTATTTTAATGTTTAGAGCAGCAGGAACTCCGAGAGGCTGCAGGCGCATCAGTGAGTTTGCGGACGCTGCTCAGGGGGAGGGGGGAGAGGGCTGAAGCAGAAACTACCGTTGTTAAAAGAAATGTGTTAACTTAGAAAATGTGGGCGCAATTTTAACTGTCAAAAACTCCATCGAACCTACCGACCCCCCCCCCCCCCCGCCGCCGCTTCCGGCGTATGACGTCATTAACGACTAGTCGAAGTCGACTCGACTTTCATTACTTGACTGTCGACTTTAACAAAATAAAGTCGTGCAGGCCCTATCAGGCACAGGTGAATAAAGCACTAAGAAAGCAAAACAGATAAATACTTTTATAAACTGTGTCTATTAAATAAATACTTTAAAGGGATATTCCACCCCAAAGTGAAAATGTGTCTATTACTATATAAGTACTATAATTGTCTATTCCTCAAAGTTAGATAAGTGAGAAAAAAGCTTTTTCTAACCAGCGCAGACCTTCTCCTGATCTGGCAGCCATCTGTTACCTTTTGCCTAGCATAAAAAACGGAGTGAATGGGAACTGGTAGCACTTTGGTCGCAAATGATTCAATTATGATACCAAATATTCCTGGAGAGCTCAATAATCATGTTGACTGCAAATGAAAAGTAAGTAGCAGCACAAAGGGTTTTTGAATAACTGCTTGGTTTTCCAGGAAGTGAATGCATTTTTTCTTTCACTGCTAGTAGGTTGATTTGGCTGTGGTTGTGGCTCCACCCACTCCACTTCCTGGTCTGAATCCACACCTGGCCACTCATGTTAACGCTGGTGCTTGCTAATCGGGGGTGTAGCCTCCTCATGTTTTCAGCCATAGTGTTACTATGGTTACAGACACACATTGTTTAGGGGCATTATGGGATAGATAGCCTACACAACGCAGAGACACACGTTGCCCGAAATTCCTTTATTCATCTTTTGAGTGGAAAACACAGAAGTAATCTAAAGGCATTACGAAAGTAACAGTATTCTGAATACCATGTTTGAAAATTGTAACTGTAACTGAATAGTTACTCATCTTTAGTATTCTAAATACTGTTTTCAGTTACTCCTCAACACTGCAGATTGAGAATTATAAATCAGGCCTAATAAATGAAAATAAAACCACGAAACAACTGCAGTTGCTGCCTAAAACCTGAATAATAGAAGAAGAAGAAAATATCGTTTCTATAGCGCCTCTCTGCAGCTAACCCTATAGGCACCCATAAAAAATCTCTCTCTCTGAAGTTTGCAAATGTTTGAAGTTATTATTTAAGACAACAGTGTTTCCTGCAGCCACCCAAACTATCCTTCAAAGTTCTTTCCAGTAAAAGGTTGCAGATTTTTGACAGATCATTAACAACCTTCATCATGATTTCTCTGTGTCGCTCAGCAAACCCCTCAGGTGACTGTGAGGAAGACAACGGAAGCAGAGAGCATCAAAAGAAATGACTTTAGGAAATATATTGAATGATTGCTCTTGGATAAGAAAAATGATTCACCCTCTGAAGAAGATATTTCCTCCACAACAGATCTCTGTATTTGAGACGGGCCGAAAGAGAAAATAGAAGAAGAAAAAACACACGTTGCAATAAAAGCATCAACTGTAAGCTAACACGGTGCTTCGGTACCTGAAAGAAAAGTTTACAAAAATATTGAAAATGACAGTTCTTCTACTTTTCCTGGTGCAACAAGCATGAGTAATGTAGATGTTTTCCCACTCTCCTACCTCTCTGATGACTACTATCTGTAAAACAAAATGATTTGCAGAATTTTCTCGTAATTGAAAGTGAAAGTGGAAATAAACAGAAACAGCAGAAGGGAACAGAAATGTGTTGGGTCTACTGTTGAGCGCTGTGCTCGCATGCATGAGCATGGCGTAACTAGGTTGACCGTGTTCTGGTAGTCGTCTCTGTCACCAGTGATCCTTAAACATGAATACTGAATGAGCCTACATTGACTGAATGGGTGTGCATGGCTTTGTGTCCTTGTGATGGACTCTCCAGGATGAATCTGACCTTTGACCTGGCCACACCTACAGTCTCTGGGTTATCCATCCTCCCTACCCTTTTTTCCATGGACCTTCGCATGATGTTGCTTTCCCTCAGAAGGAGGGATGGTAAAACTCTTTGTTTTTGTTCCATTCAAGTGTTTTCTGTCAGATTTCCTTTGATAGTGTGATCTATGTGTGTGCTAGTATGAGAGGACAGGTTGGTACTTCATGTCCCCAGGTGAGAGGAATTCAACAACATCCGTTTTTCTTAAAACATGCTGCTAATAGTGGAGCGTTAGCTAGAAAACAAGACTGGCTTACTGCAGTTCTGTTGTACTTTGTCCAAACTATGTCACAAGCATGTCAACTCATAGTTGTAATGCCTCAAGCGTGTTGGGAAATGCCCTCCAGGGATCATTTAAACATTTCTGAGTTCAACTGAGCTAAATTAGCGGCTACTCGTAGAGCTGCTGGATGCACTAATCAACAGGAAGATAAACCAGGTGCTTTTATAGAATTCAGGAAAAAGACATTTTGAGGATTTGAGTTCTTAGATGTGCTTCTCTGCACTGGTGTTACAATTAACGTATGACCTTTGTAGTGAAACCACTTCCCTCAGGACCGAAACTCAACTCTATGACCAGTTACACCACCATTGTGTCCTGAGTCCTGCACATATAACACTCACAGCCAGCTCATCACGTTCCTGTCACATGGGAACGGCACCGAAACAAACATGCAGCACGACCATGGTGATACCTGTTCAAAGCCGCTCTTCATGACACAAAGTCTAACGCTTCTTTGAACTCTGAACATCTTCTCCTTCACCTCCCTCATGGTGGCCTTATTTACCATTCTTAGATCTAACGAGCCTGTAGCCGACCCGACT